TAGAAGGTAAATGAAAACCTTGTACTGAATATTTCAAAGAACCATCAAAATGTCAGAACAGAAAAGAACTTAGAATTTTATACTTGAAATAGGGTCAATAGGTCACTCTGGCCAATTTTACTTTATTAAAAATTTTTTTTTTTCTTTATTGATTTTAGAGAGAGAGGAAGGGAGAGATAGAGAGAGATAGAAACATCAGTGAGAGAAAACATTGACTGGCCGCCTCCTGCATGCCCCCCACTGGGGATTTGGCCCATAACCTGACCGGGAATTGAACTGGCGTCCTCTTGGTGCATGGGTTGATGCTCAACCACTGAGCCACACCAGCCAGGAAGCCAATCATACTTTAAATTTTTGCTCTAACTAATCTCCTTTAATTTGCCAATGTTTACAGAATAAACAAATTAACAACAATGATAATAATAAAATTCTTGGAAGGAAAAGAGTATCAGAAATCCTGAACCTGACAACACAGATTCCTTATAATCTATTATGCTGTACCATTCAGAAAGTCTTCAGTTTTTCACCTAAATTTATTATTTTTTAAAATGCTTAAGCAGATCTATGAAGTTTAAGTTATTGAAGGCAATTAATGTAACTAGTACGCAGATGCCCATATAATTGAACAAATTGATCTTTTTTTTATCCTCACCTGAGGATACTCTTTCCATTGATTTTCTTTTTTCTTTTTCAGATAGACTGGGAGGGAGAGAGAGAGGAAGAAACATCGATGTGACAGTGACACATTTTTTGGTTGCCTCCCACACAACCCTGACCTGGCAGGGGATCAAACCTGCAACCCAGGGGTGTGACCTTGACCAGAAACCCGAGACTCTTCCGAATGAGGGCCGACACTCTAACCGCTAAGCCAGACCGGCCAGGGCCAAATTGATCTTTTTTGATAATTCTCTCTTACCAAGATATAATCAGTCACTTCATAGAGTTCTTTGTATCTACAAGCTAGGTATAATCAGGAACTTGAAATGACTCATTTGAGATTTCATTTAAAATTACACATGCTACTGCTATAACAGGTAAAATAGAAATGTTTTTCTTAACATCTTAACATTCTTTACATTCTTTTCAATACTCACTTGAGGACATTTTTGCATTTATCTTCAGATAGAGCGGGAGGGAGGGGGGAAGAGAGAGAGAGAGAAACATCACTGTGAGAGAGACACATCGAGAGGTTGCCAACCACACAACCCCAACCTGGGTCGAGGACAAACTGCAACCGAGGTACATGCCCTTAGCGGGAACCGAACCCGGGACTCTCCGGTCGGTGGGCCAACACTCTATCCGCTGTGCCAAACCGGCCAGGGCACATCTTAATATTCTTAACAAAACAGTCCTAATCCTGCCAGTTGTTATCATTATAGATTTTTTTTTTTTTTTAAATCCTCACCTGCAGATATTTTCCATTTATCTTCAGATAGAGTGGGAGAGGAGCGGGGAGAAGAATCGATGTGAGAGAGACACATGGACTGGCTGCCTCCCATAGGGCCCCAACCAGGGCTGGGGCCTGAACCACAACTGAAGTACGTGCCCTTGACCGAAATCGAACCTGCGACTCTTTGGTCTGTGGGCCGAGGCCCTAACCTCTGAGCCAAACCAGCCAGGGCATCATAGATTTTATAGTTGCCTTTCTAGCTCCTCCTTTGCACAGTTTGAGAATGCATGTTGATTGCTGTTTACTATTTAAAAAAAGGTTTACTGAAATCAGTTTATAAGACCTAGAAAAGCCCTAATATGTACTATTTTCCTTAAAATGGATGTGAGAAATGTAAATTATGTAACAGCATTATTTATCCTGGTTCAGTTCTAATGGGTTGTCTTGTTAATTTTTTTCTTAAAAATAATAACACAATCAACACCGACCAGAAAGAATATATGTACCCCTATGTTCATAGCAGCACTATTTACAATAGCTAAGATCTGGAAACAACCCAAGTGTCCATCAGTAGATGAGTGAATTGAAAAGCTGTGGTACATGTACACAATGGAATACTATGCAGCTGTAAGAAAGAAAGATCTCTTACCCTTTGAGATGGTATGGAAGGACCTGGAGAATGTTATGCTAAGCGAAACGAGCTAAGCAGAGAAAGGCAAATATCACATGATCTCACTTATTTGTGGAATATAATGGACTAAACAAACTGCTGAACAAAATTAACCCAGAGACATAGAGGTGGGGTAGAGACTGACAAGCCTCAGAGGAGGGGGTTTGAGTGGGGAAGAGATAAACCACAGAACTTACAAGCATGTATGCATGACCAATGAACATAGATAACAAAGCTGGGGATGGGGTGAGGGAAAAGGGGAGGAGGGTGTCAATGGGGGGAAAATGAGAAACATCTGTAACAAAAACAAATTAATAAAAAAAATAACACAATCACAATGCTACACAGATTTTATTAATCCGTTCACCAATATGAAATAAATACTGTTTGTAAGCCAGGAACTTGTTCAGATGTTGGAGATGTGGTGATGTACAACGCAGACAAAGGCCCTTTTACAGACATTTCATTCTAGAATACTGATACGCATGTTAAATTAACTGACATAATTTAAATGTAAATGTTTATAAGAGAGTAGGTCAGGACTGACAAATAATAAGTATAGTAGTAACACTAATAACTAAAATTCGTTGACTATCTGCATTGTGATAGGCACTGAGCTAAATAAACACTGCACTGTATTATCTCATTTAATCTAAAAGATCCATGTTACTTACATCGGAGGGGAAGGAAAGGGAAAGAGGGAAGGGGAGGAGCGGGGAGGGGAGGGAAACATAAAGTTAACTGGCTGGTTTGGCTCAGCAGTTAGAGCATCAGCCCTAGGACCAAAGAGTTGCGGTTCAGTCCCTGGCTCTGGTCGGGGTTGTATGGGAGGCAACCAATCAGTGTGTCTCTCTCACATGGATGTTTCTCTCTCTCCCACTCTATCTGAAGATAAATGAAACGAGTATCCTCGGGTGAGTATTAGAAAATAAATAAATAAAGTGCCCTGGCTGGTTTGGCTCAGCTGTAGAGGGTCCCAGCCCACGGACCATTGAGTCACAGGTTGGATTTTAGTCAAGGGCATGTATGTCAGTTGCCGTTCATCCCAGGCCCTGGTTGGGTTGTGAGAGGAAACCAATCGATGTGACTCTCTCACATCGATGTTTCTCTCTCTCTCTCCCTCCCTCCCACTCTATCTGAAGATAAATGGAAAAATATCCTTGGGTGAGGATTTAAAAAAAAAATGCAAAAAAAAAAAAAAGTTAACTAAGTTATATTATGTCTCTCAGTAAGGAAATAATAAGTGAATATGAAGTAGAATTTGTTTTGCTATTAAAGTATTTAAAAAGGCATCTAGTTCTGGCCGGTTTGGCTCAGCGGTTAGAGCATTGGCCTGCGGTCCAGAGAGACCTGGGTTCGGTTCCCCCTAAGGGCACCTAACTCGGTTGCGGTTTGTCCCTGGCCCTGGTTGGTGGTGCAGGTGGCAGCCACTCGATGTGTCCCTTTCATGTTGATGTTTCTCTCTTCCTCTCTCTCCCTCCCACTCTATCTGAACAAAAAAAATGGAAAAATGTCCTTGGATGAGGATAAAAAACAACAACAACGGCATTTAGAACACTAATACAATATTGCATACACACGTTTTAATTTATACACATACTTATGCATCACTATAAATTAAAAATTAAGGGTGTCATAGTGGAATAGTTAAAGGCAATGAGGAGTCCGGCTGGTGTGGCTCAGTGGTTGAGCATTGACCCGTGCACCAAGAGGTGGCCGGTTCCATTCCTGGTCAGGACACATGCCCAGGTTGTGGGCCAGATCCCCAGTGGGGGACATGCAGGAGGCGGCCAATCAATGTTCTCTCTCATCGATGTTTCTATCTCTCTTCCCTCTCCATTCTTCTCTCTCTGAAGATTAATAAAGGAAAAAATAAAATAAAGGCAATGAGGGAATGTTGATTAAAATGGAAGGGTCTGGGGGGGACAATTATATGCAAATATATGAAGGTTAGAAATGTTGAAAAGGCAATTGTCTTGCTCTAGGTTGTCACAGAGAAGAGAAACATGTTAATTGATAGAAAATAAGTTACATATAAATGAATTTTGAACCAATATTTTCATTAGAAAGTAGAGGCCATTCCTTTCGTATATTATTTACCTTCTTTTTATAATAGCTGTGGATTCTTATTTCACTTCTGTTGTCAAAACAATATTAGTAAAACATAAAAACTATAACAGTAGCTACATAGGAGTAACTCATTTCTCCTCATATCTTCGTAATCGCATTACTTGTATTTTAGTTTCCTAAAATTTATACACAGACATTTTTTCTTACTATATCTATGCCAAATTAACATTGGATGGTAGTGAATTCCAATTTTTAAATTAATCATTAAATTCTGTTCACAGCATCATTTCTAACATGACACTTTGAGAAAGCTGTCTCAAGAATTGTGTGATGAATATGCTAAACAAAATTTGAAAAGATCCCACCAGTTTAGACATACATAGTATTCCAATCCCATGACTCCTTGTATCTTTGGTGATAATCAAATTCTCCATCTGTGAATGCAACAAAGGCAACAGAATTGGGTATACAAAAATGCAAAACAAAGCACTGAAAGAAAAATAAAGCTACTTTAAAGTAAAAAAGGGTATGTGTGCAATACCAAAAAAATAATAACCAAAAGAGAAATATTCCACATGTAACTTTGAATATCTAAAAAATGTTTAAAAGAGAAAGAAAGAAAATAAACCATGATAGAGCAACAATGACAGAATGTAATTCCAAATTTATCTAATCTATACAAATTTCTATCTTTGGATCTCATCAATGTATAGAATAATCAACATACTAGGGAAAAATTTAAAACTAACTTAATTCCAGGACAAAATATATATATATGGAAAAGTAATACGTTTTTGAATATAGTAAAATATTACTGGGATTTATTTTTATTTCTTATCAATGTTATTTGTTTCACAAGTCTAGAATTTTATTTGTATGGAACGTTTCACGAATTTGCATGTCATCCTTGCACAGGGACCATGCTAATCTTCTCTGTATCGTTTCAATTTTAGTATATGTGCTGCCAAAGCGAGAACACAAGTCTAGAACTTTATAGTTTGTGATACAGAATACTGGCACACGGTTGTAAATGAAGGTATTTCAGGGAGTAACACATTTTATAAAATGCTCTGGGAACGCTCGATATCCAACACACTTTCCACTCCAGTGATGTACGTGAAATTGGGTACATCGATACATAACTTTAGAATGTGGGTGCATGAGTATGCATGTGAGAAACATGGAAAGTCTGGAGGAAAATAAAGTATGAGGTGCTGCAATAAAAAAAATAAACCAGCAGCAAAAATTATTAATCTAATGGATAACAAGGGAGGAGACCAAAAAAATGCAGAGGCTGCATGAAAAGACAAAAGAGAGTAAGTTGAAATGGACAACAGGGATGGATACCAAGGCTGAACTACAAAAGGAATTGTCAGTTGTACCAAGCAAGATTAGTGAGTGAACTAAACTTAAGTATGAGGAAAAGAGAGAATGGGGTGAGGGGGAAATGTAAAAATAACGTTAAACAGTAAAAACAAAATGTTCTTTAATAGAATAAAAGTAAAAAATATGACCTAAGTAAAATAATGTTAAATTTATGCCCTTCTTCAGCTTACTTGGTGAAAGATATACTATGCCTGATCACACATTGACCTCTATTGGACAGACAGGCAAATAGACCTGTTTCTAAAGCACTAGATGGACCTGTTTCCCAGCACCTCTTATTTAAAAGCCCTTCTTATGTAAAAACACTTCTTATGTAAAAATAAAAAACAAAAAAGCATAAATAAAGCCTGACCAATGTTTTATCAGTAATATAGTTGTATGAACACAGCAAGAGACAAAGATTTTGAAGTAGTAATTTTAATGAAATTCTATCACAATGCTTGGAGTAGTTGACCATAAGTGCAAATCAACTTCACATAATCTTGCATATGTATGTATTTGTATATTTTAATAAACAAACATTAAAAACAATACTTCTTAATGAGGATTAAGCCTAGAAGGATTTGTACTAATCCAGCCAAAGAAGTGTTGGAAATAGATTATTTACAATTAAAAATCAACATCTTTTTGCTTTTTAATAATCAGATATTCAAATTTAATCTATTTATACATGAAAGGTTTTCATGTTTGTATGTTTTAACATATTTACTTTATTTCACTTAGTTATTAGGTTTATACATATTCGAATTTAATTTGATTAATTCTGTTCCAAAAATTTAAGATAAAATGGGTATGTACTTTACAATGCTCTGTAGCTACCTATATCATGAAAGGTTTTGCTTCACTTAGTAATATATTAAATTATAAGGTCGCCTCTTCCAAAGCCACGTATATTATATTGGAATTAGTAACATAACAGAATATCATTAGCATGCTAAATATCGTATTGGTAATGGGTGTGTTTTTAAAAAATTGGCTTAATTTGGTTTAGTTGCGCTTAAGAAGGGAGGGTGTGGTGTCCGGCCCCAGGTGGGCTACAGGGGAGGGGCCCCGGCAGCAGTCAGGGGTTGGCGGCGAGGGGTTTGTGGTCTGGCCATCGGATGCTCAGTTGTTGAACCGGCACTGGCAGGGTTGGTAGAAGAAGCCTCCCTGGTGCCTGGGCCGGCACAGGTGGCTCTTGCGGGCAGTTGTGCGGTTGAACCACCTCCTCCAGCAGCGCAGCCCGCGTCCGCAGAGGGTGCAGCCCGCCTCCTCCTCCAGCAGCGCGGCCCGCGTCCGCAGAGGGTGCAGCCCGCGTCCGCAGAGGGTGCAGCCCGCCTCCTCCTCCAGCAGCGCGGCCCGCGTCCGCAGAGGGTGCAGCCCGCGTCCGCAGAGGGTGCAGCCCGCCTCCTCCAGCAGCTCGGCCCGCGTCCGCAGAGGGTGCAGCCCGCCTCCTCCAGCAGCGCGGCCCGCGTCCGCAGCGGGTGCAGCCCGCCTCCTCCAGCTGCGAAGCCCCCGTCCGCAGCGGGTGCAGCCCGCCTCCTCCAGCTGCGCAGCCCGCGTCCGCAGAGGGTGCAGCCCGCCTCCTCCAGCAGCGCAGCCCGCGTCCACCGAGGGAGCGGCTGCGGGGCGGAGGGTGCGGGGCTCGCGGCGGACCTGCGCCAGCTCCGGCTCGCCAAGGTTAGGCAGGTCCGCGTCGCGTGGGGTGCGTGGGAACGTGTCCCGGCTCCAGCATTGCCGAGCGCGGTGAGGAGGGCCCTGAGCCCTTCCGACAGCTCGGCGATGAGTCAGCCGTCCACCTCGCCCTCGTGGGGACCAGGCTCGGGGGCAGTCGGGCGGGACGGGTGGGTCGAGGAGGCGCTGAACGAGAGGCTTGCGGGGCGCGGGAATGTGTTGGTGGGATGTGCGGGCAGGGGCGCCCTGTGGCGGAGTGGAACCGTGGGTTTGGGCGGGGCAGGGCGGGTCGGGGGTGCTAAGGGGCTGTGCGGCCCAGCGCCCGGCCACCGCTGCTGCTCACGGGCCGGGCTGCACCATGGGGCGGGTCCGGGAGGTGGCGGCCCGGCTCCGCCGGACCCTCCTGGCTGCTGCCTTTCCGGAGCCCCCGGGGCTTTGACTACGTGCCCTGGGTTGGTTTTACTTATTTATTTTTGACATAACCCTTTTTTGTTCATGGACCACTGATCACAGACAGAAAGAATGTGCCAGAAAGACTTAGTTCTACATTTTGGATTAATGACAATATCGGAGAATCAATCCTGAGACAGAGCAATGACAAAACACTAGAAACGGGTGGGGGTGGGGGGGGGACTGTAAGTAGAAGTATCCTTGTCCAAATTTCCGGGGGCTGATTTAAATGAGAATATCTCAGTTAAGGGTTATATAGGTCTTTTATATTACAGATTTGAAATAGAAATTTGTACTAGAGTTTAAGGAACTTGATAAGAAAACAGCATTTTATTTTGAAAATTTCGGGTAAAATGGCTGTTTAATTTCTTCATACAAATTAGGCTTTTTAATTTTTTTTTAACCTCACTCGAGGACATTTTTGCATTTACCTTCAGATAGAGCAGGAGGCTGAGAGGGAGGAAGAGAGAGAGAGAAGCATGGATGTGAGGGAGACACATCCAGCGGTTGCCACCCACACGACCCTAACAGGGGCGGGGGAAAAACTGCAGCCAAGGTGTGTGCCCTTAGCAGGAACCAAACCCTGGACTCTGGTCCACCTCCCACACTCTAACTTCTGAGCCAAACTGGCCAGGGCAAATTAGGCTTTTAACACATAGTACATTCGACTAGCATACTTAAATATTTTATTTTCCAAACATTAGAAAATATATAAAATGTTTTTTATTGATTTTAGAGAGAGAGGAAACATTTTGACACTGAATAAAAACTAGGGCAAAGGAATTTGAACAATTGGTCTGGTAATTAAGCAGCAGATTAAAAAGTGGTTAAATCTTTTAATTAGGGAGATGACCGAAATAAATTAGAATAGTCATATAAAACATAATGTCAAGACAGGACATTTATAAAATGAACTTTGAAAAGTTAAATTCAATTCGATTGACATTAGGCAAGTAAGTTTAATAAAAAACTTCAGACAATGCAACTCAGGGTGAGTCATCATTAAAATAGCTGCTTTTTAGGTTAAAAAAATTTTTTTTTAAATCAAGCTGTTTTTTTGTCATTAGCTACAAGCTAAATTGGGTCATGGAGCTGGTTACATGGTAAAAGAATAATGAAATTTGTCAGTAAACAGTGAGGAATGAGGACTTCCTGGGAAACTTCTAGTATGATTATACAAACTGTATTTCTGTGAGACTGAATGTCTACAATCTTGTCTGTTTTGTTGTCAGTGAATAAAGGAAACAAGTCAGTGGAAAAAAGGGTGCTTTCTAGGGACCTGAGCCTTGCCTTACTCTAAACCAGTGGTTCTCAACCTGTGGGTTTTAAAGAGGGAAGGACTCCCTTGGGGAGTGCAACGACCCTTTCACAGGGGTCGCCTAAGCCCATCAGAAAACACATATTTCTGAGGGTTGTCGGAACTGAGCCACCGCTCCTCTATCCTTCAGGCAGGTCCCCCCATATGCAGATACGCCCACATACAACAAGAGGAACTGTGTTAAAGGGTCGGACATTAGGAAGGTTGAGAACTACTGCTTGTCCACTGAGGACAAAGAATAAAGAACTGATAACGTCCCTAAGAGAAATGCTAGATTTCCACCTGAAATGGAGATAAGAATGACTACAGTCATGGATTTTGCAACTCAGTTTGATAGTCAGCTTTATCTAACTTGATTAGCAGAGATACATTCCTATAAAACTCATGTTTTTTTTTTTATCCTCACCTGAGGACATTTTTCCATTTTTTGTTCAGATAGAATGGGAGGGGGAGAGAGAGAGAGAGAGAGAAACATCGACGTGAAAGGGATACATTGAGTGGCTGCCACCCGCACGACCAACCAGGGCTGGGGACAAACTGCAACCGAGGTACGTGCCCTTAGCGGAAACTGAACCCGGGTCTCTCTGGACCGCAGGCCAACGCTCTAACCGCTGAGCCAAACCAGCCAGGGCAAAACTCATGTTTTTTTGTTTTGTTTTTTTATCCTCACCTGAGGACATTTTTCCATTTTTCCTTCAGATAGAATGGGAGGGAGAGAGAGAAGAGAGAAACATCGACATGAAAGGGACACATCGAGTGGCTGCCACCCGCACGACCCAACCAGGGCCGGGGACAAACTGCAACCGAGGTACGTGCCCTTAGCGGGAACTGAACCCGAGTCTCTCTGGACCGCAGGCCGATGCTCTAACCGCTGAGCCAAACTGGCCAGGGCAAAACTCATGGTTTTTTAAAGGGGGAAGGATACGTGCTATTTTATATACTGCTTTATATAAAAAAAATAAAGTTCAGGTAGAAATCAAACAGATAAAGCAGCCCTTTATTTGTTTACAGATAACATTCCTTTGTTGCTACTCCTGAAAATGTGTGGATTTGAAAATATCTTTCATCTGAGAAATATGCAGATTATCTTGAAGAACAGGAACATATTCAGGCTGTTGATTATGATTGGGATCATGAGGGCATAGCTCTCAGTGAGTATCAACTTTGGCATC